CTGCAGATCAACAATCTGCATTGCAAGCTGTCTTGTCCCCTTTTGATACCGTTTTTCAAACATTGAGTATTTTGCCTCATTCTCGATTTCAAGACCATCGTATTCCATTAATTGAAGGCAGTAAGCCCCCTAGCATGAGGCCTTACAGATATGAGCCTTTCCCGAAAACAGAGATTGGAAAATGTGTCAAGGACAAGGATTTGTTCGCAAGGTTTCCTGATTTCCATCTTTGAGGACAAGGATGTTTTGCAGAGTAGGGTGATGTTAGGAACCTTCATCATTGCTGAGCTAGATTAGTGATGAGCTGGCATAGTAAGTTTGTTAATTGTTTAGTTAAGAAGTTAGTTTCTAACCGAATTGGTTAAGAAGAGCTTTACAGCTATATTAGGCAATGATTGTATCAAGAACGGCATGTTGAGAATATTGTAATGTTTCGATAATTTAATAAAGAATACTTGTTACTCTGTGTAATTCTAGGGTTAAGGTTGAAAGGGGTTTAACATCAAGACTATCTCTCAGAATTATGCCCTCGGCTAAAATGATTGTCGAATCTCCAAGCTTATTAGCATCGACAAGTAACACATGACCATCATAGTTTCTTGTCACAAAGTTAGTGTTATCTTGATTTTGACATAGTCGAGTCATGCTAGGGAGATCACATTTTATATATCATTTTGTGTACCACATTTCTAATATAGGTGGAGGCCACCAATATAATGAGTCTCATTAATGGCGGAGTCAGGATTTTACATTAGAGGGGACCATTCACAAAATTTTAAAAACTAATTAGAGGGTTCTCATTTTATTCAGTGGCTCAAGAGCTAATTGGTTAATTAGCTAATACTACATTAACTACTCGTTTTGGTTCACCTCATATATCATTTTATATTAATTAATAATATCTTCATTCAGTATAACCATATAATTGTTTTGAATTTCAAATTTTGAAATGGTTAAAGATTAATCTCATCATCTACACTATTCAGACTCAAAAGAAATACAAAAAAATTTCATAAATCCCAAAGTTAAATAAAAGAGGAAGAGAAAGATTTTTAAACATCATGAGAAAAAACAAGCTACAAGGCAAAGAAACCAATGCAAAAGCCCAAAAGTCAACAAGAACTAAAAGCTACAGTGCGAATTAGATCACCCAGAGAAATCAAATGACTCAAAACACCCAATTCATGTATGCATATATATACATACAAAAGTACACATTTGGAAAAAGTTGAGAGGGGCATGGGTCCACCATGATCCTTAGATGGCTTTGCCACTAAGTCTCACATATATTAGAGAGGTGGTGCACAATTTAGTATATAACTGTGGTCTCCATAGCATAACCCTTATTACAAGTTACAATTGAAAATTATTTGATTAAAATTACGAAAAAACTTATTTGAAAAGGAAGTATATTTGTTTTATTTTGTTGTTGCACTTGGAAGTTGGAACCAGTTACAAGTTACCTGCATTTTTTTTTTTGGATGGAATCAGGCTAATTTGTAATTCATTAGATTTATTTGGTTTTTTACTAAGGCATGCATTATTTACATAAATAGTAACTATCCTTACCTCCTCTTGTCTTTTACCATGACGAATATGTGGAAGTGCTCTTCTGCATGGCCCAATAGAAATTCAACCAAGAAGGACAATTGCTTGGCTGATGTGATTATGTTATCCCGGGTGAGAGCATCAAGTAAAGCATCCCAAACAGGCTTAATGATGACGCGTAACAGAAATATGATAATTACACACCAACTGCTTCTCCCAAATGGCTTCAACACTCTCCTGCAGAGCCAAAGCCATACGCGCCCTATCCTCCCCCACCACAATACGACGTCGTCTGCCCCTGGTGGGAGCATTCTGCGTGCTCAGCTTGGGCATCTCCAACCTCTTTCCTGCTCTTTCCTTCTCCGCGTTCAAAACGGGCTCTGCACAGTCTCTCGCTCCTCTTTTGAGGTACAACGCCACCAGCCTTCTTCACCTTGTTCTTTCTCTGATTTCAAAAGGTTTTTTTCTTCTTTCTGTGATTTCATTATTTATTGTTTAATCAGAATTTGTGTTGAATTGTGGGTTTTTTAGATCAAGGTTTGGTAGCCAAGCAGCGGCTGTTCACTCTGTGAAAATGGAAGGGAGTAGCACCACTGTACCAAGTATTGTTGTTTATGTGACTGTGCCTAACAAAGAAGCAGGTTGGTGTTCTATGAATACTGGGTTTTCTTTATTTTTCTTTTTGGTTTGTTATCCCTTTGAGAAAAGTTATGTGATTGATCGTTATATGGTACTAACTCTTGAGTAAAAAGGATGGGTATGGTTGAATTGTTGTGCAAAGCAAAGTTATGAGGACTTGAGGGTAGTATGCATGATAAATTATTCTATGAGCATTCTGTAACAAATAGGTGAGCTAAATGGCATTTCTAATGATTGGATATTTGCAAATTTGGGGAAAATGGGACAATATCTGCCGCAGGAGGCACAAACAACTGGAGGCACAAAGTGTCATTCAGTAATTTAGTCCTTCACTAGCTGAGAACTTTATTCATCCCATTTCAAGTCATCCTGCTCGCTTTGTGTTGTATGAATTTAGGCCAGAAAAGTTAAACATGGACATATTGTAATGCTTACAAGCAACAAGCACTTAGAGACGTGGAATGTTCTTGTGTTTGAACTTTGTTTTTCCAGAGAGGGTTCTGTAATTAGATTTATGAATAAAGTATTCTTATTCGTTTTCATATCTTATGATATATTTAGTTGAGACTCCAATAATACCAACACATATGGGCTTACAATAGCCTATGTTTGCACCGTACTTGATCAATATTATGAGTTGCACTATTTGCTCATAACTTCTAAACTGCATAACTATTGAGTTTTTTTTTTTACCATTTGGAAAACTGAAGTTGAAACTGCTTTATTTATTATTTATGACATACTATCTTTGTGCAGGAAAGAAGTTAGCTGAAAGCTTGGTCAGAGAAAAACTTGCAGCATGTGTTAACCGAGTACCAGGTATGCGCTTCATCTTAATCCTTTCATTATGCTTGTATATTGCGTGGGCTGCTAAGTTCACAGTTGCTTGTTCCTATGATATTACCGAACCTTTTTGTTAAATAGCAAAACTCAACCAGAAAGTACTGAACACATTTTCCAAAACTTGATATTTACTTATGTATGAATAAGTTTTCAGGTCATCACCAACCATCTGACTAGGAACTTCCCCGAAGTTTTGGATCATTTAAGTTGTCCAGATTTTTGCAGCCTGTCAACAGAACGTTGTTCTTATTTCTTACTGAAGTGTTGCAATCTAATCTTTCTAGTAGTCATCTAAAACATGGTTGTGGCCCGTAGTTCTTACTGAGATTTGTACCTTATTTATTACTCTTTTTTTCTAGTGTTCAGCTTGGCATATATTACTAGTAGACCATGGACTATGTACTGCTTAACATAAACTGTATCTACTTTGAACTACTATTTGCTTCTTCTTAAAATAGAAATATGTATAATAAGAAAAAGAGTATTTACGTCCTCCCTTCCATTGATATTGTGCTTTAATCTTCAATTGACGATTGAACATTTGAATTTTCTTATTAATATTATTGCATACAACTTGCATCAAGCTTTTAGTTTCTTGTCCGATTCATGATAAACTCTCTGAATGCAGGCATTGAGTCCGTCTATCAGTGGAATGGAGAGGTATGGATCACATTCCCCAAGATATCCTGGATTATCACATGATCATAGAGAAGGGTGCATAGAAACCCTTATAACCCTTGCCATTTGGATTATTTACATGTTATTTTGTTGCATTGACATTTGTATATTTGCACAATTCTTGAGAAATGAAAATATATTGTACTGATTTCACTTTTTAATATCGGTTGATAGGTCCAGACAGATTCCGAGGAACTTCTTATAATCAAGACTAGGCAATCCCTTTTTGAAGCTCTGACAGAGCATGTGAAGGCAAACCATCCATATGAGTAAGCCCAAAGCTTCTTCAGTATAAATTTGACATAACTGATGTACTTCGCTTTTTGGTGAACTTTGCTGTATCAAACTTAGTTGCAAGCTGAAAATGCCAAACAAATAGAAAATGTGGTGGCCACAGTACTCTACGGAATTAATACACAAGATCATATGCCTAATCCCCTCCGTTGGGACTGTTGCCACAAATTGTACCTGGTAGAATCGGATGTTTATGCATTCCCTGATGGCTGAAAATAGAGCTCCACCTTGACATTAAGTACTCACTTCTTTTTTTGATGTTTCCTCATTGATCAGTGTTCCGGAAGTTATTGCGCTACCTATCAACGCCGGCAGTCTCCAGTACCTAGAATGGGTCAAAAACAGCACAAGGGACTGACTTAAAGCTCATTATTAGGGTTCAAGTACATAGAACCATTTGACTGGTTCTTGAAGTGGGCAAGCAGATGGTTTATGTGTTTGTCTGTGTGCAAGTGTGTGTAAATGCGCATCTCAAATAAAGCGAGCTGCATGCCAGCTTCTTAGCTTTATGTATCAGCTTCTTAGTGTTACAGTTGTAATGGGGAATCTTTAATCGCCTTTGGGTTTTCTGTTGGTTACTTTCTAAGATAATGTGCGGACTTATTTTAGTAAAAGCGTACTAGTTGAATATATGCCCCTGTATGGCAGTCTGCTTCCTCACAGATTTGTGCCATCTTTCAGAGTGTTTTATTTTAACTATAGGACGGGTATAATCCTTATAAAATGTGGGTGTATTATTCAGCAAATTTCTAACGCACGTACGGTGAAAAATTCGGTCATCACATAAAAATTTGAATTTGTTTATTTAATTTTTGTTATTTGCATTCTTCTTTCATTAGTATGTAAAAAAAACAAGGCATAAACACATGACGAATATTGAGAAGAGTGGTAAGAATTAGGTTAAAGTGGTGAGTAATAATAATGAGGGGTGATATCCCCACTCCTTTTTCTCCTATTTTATCCACTTATACTCATTTTTTATAACTAAAAAAGGAGTGTAAGTGGATAAAATAGGAGTGGGGAAATCATTGCCCATAATAATTTTATGCAGAAAATACTTTTAAAACGTTAATACGTGAATTTGAAATGGGTATTATGTTTGGTACAAATTGCACAGATGGAAATTGGCCGTTAATTGTCCTCCCATGTGATGTGTCATGAGAGATAGAAACGCGTATGAAACATAGGATTGACAAGGGATAAAAGTAATTTCATTAGAAGTTCAGGAAACTAATTGAACAATTATTTGAAAGTAAATAAATTTAGATCCGATTGAAAGAAACTAACCACATGTTCCAAGTTCGTCCTTGCGTCACTACGAGTTACAAGGTTTCTCACCATAGAGAAGTCGTTTTCTCACCACAGAGAAGTCACTATGAGTTACAAGGCTTCTCACCATAGATGAGTTACAAGGTTTCTCACCATAGAGAAAAGCAAAGTTTCCCACAACACAAAGATTCTAAGTTCGATTCTTCCTTCTCGTTGATTAAGAAAAATCTAATTTACAAAGTTTCGATGAATCCCATTAAACAAGTATCAACGAATCCAATGACACTACCATTTTTCTCCTTTGCTATCCTCGATTATCTCAAATGCTATGATGCTATAATCCAAATTCAGAATAAAAATAGCTCAAAAGACAGCTGGTTGCTGCTATCAGATTCTACCCATTCCAAATCACTTAACAAATCAAGAACAAGTTCAGTTTCAATGTTTCGAACAGCATATATTGCATGACCTAATATACAAATTAACACACTTTCTTTCAATCAGCTTCACACAGGCAAATGACATTCAACGCCCACCTCCTCCAAAGGAAGGATAGGAGGACCCTTCAAGCTTTCAATGCTCTCTATGGTTCATCCAACTGGTCCTGCATAAACCCAACATATAATTAGGTCTTGATCAATCAGGTTCTCAGAGAGAGAGAGAGAGAGAGAGAGAGGGAGTTACCGCATCTGAAGTCCAAAGAGTGAGGTTGTCCCTCAAAAGTTGCATGATCAGAGTGCTGTCCTTGTATGATTCTTCTCCCAAAGTGTCTAGCTCAGCAATAGCTTCCTCAAATGCCTAATTATAATAATAAAAGCAACTTAACTTAAAAAAATGTAAAATCCAAATGGAATGTTTGTAGAAAAAGGCCATTTCAAAGTAAGACATATTGAACCACAACAAGCCTAACATGGCCTCAAAGTGTCAGTCTTTCAAGCTTTAAATGCATGAATGTCAGGAAGGAAGTGATTTCCTTTGGTACTTAATGTGGGGCATGTTTCTCACAGAATATGTTTAATTTCATCATCTACTTAAAGTTAGGACATGTAAGGCAAATCATGAACCACAATTTATATTAATATCCCCTTGAAATTTTAAGCCATCCAAGGATACAATAATTTTGCAATCACATATATAAAGCTAAAGATCAAGGAATTTCAACAAAATGACTTAAATGGATCATATCAAATAAACAACTTCAGCAAGATTTTAACAAGACTGTCAACTTCCAAACATATGTGGAGAGAGGTATTGCTAATAAACAATTGTACCCCCAATAATTCATGTCACTACTGGTACAGCAGGGATGAAAACAATAATTTACAAACAGAATATGATCTTCTTTCGTTTCCGTATATATCTTTTTTCATATTATATTTATGCATATAATATAATTGTAAATTATTAACAGTCCACCGCCAAAACAGATGTGCAAATAGGTATTCCAAATAAATACATACCCAATAATTTATGTAACTTCTAGTGCAGCAGACATGCAAGCAACAAAGTCAAAGAGCAATAATTATCAACACAATACTCGTGGGTGACTTTTGTAAAAATCAAAAAATCAAAACCTATTAAAGTCCCATCCCCACAAAGTCATATGTAAAACAACCCAAATTCAGTTATTATCATGACTTATTGTGACTTGATGCCTAAAAATACACCATACAGAAACCAATTATGACAAATTAAACTTCACCCCATTCACACAGCTAAGCAGATGATTCAAATAAATGGATAAATTGACCTTATACAGAACACTTGAGCAGTGACACAAAACAATATACAAAATTCACTACAATAACTTACCTAATACCTCACATGAGTAATCAAAATTTCAAAGTGATTCAAAGAGAGGGCAAGAAACAATAGAAAGAAAGAAAGAAAACCAATAACTGGAAAATCGTATTAGATTCTAACAAGATGGGATATCGAAAGACACCTGTTTGGCCATGCTGCAAGCTTTATCAGACTGATTGAGAATCTCATAGTAGAACACTGAGAAATTCAGTGCTAGACCCAATCTTATCGGATGCGTTGGTGCAAGATCCGCAAGCGCTACGTCCTTCACAACGAAAATTCAAGCCTCAAAATTTCAGCTTTCAAATTCTAATCAATTCCAATTACCAATCTTTTTAAAAGATTGAAATTGACAAAATTCCACGTTTGGGTTTTACTCGCAAACCCAAAAATGAAAAAGACAAATAAATAAGTGATTAAAATGTCAACGCTGACTGAACGACTGCCTCAAAACACTAAAACTGTAAAACCCCCAAAAAATAAAGGTGAAAAACCCAGAGATGTTTAAAAGGTCAACACTTTAAAGTACATGAAACGACGTCATCACCTGGGCAGCCTTGTAAGCGAGCATGGTGTCTTCTGCAGCAGCCTTTCTTTCATCAGCAGCCTTGAACTCAGCCATGTAGCGGTGGTAGTCGCCCTTCATCTTCAGGTAGAAGACCTTGGACTCGCTGGACTTGGCGGAGGGCACGAGATTGGAGTCCAAGATCTTCAAGATGCTGGCGCAGACATCAGAGAGCTCGGTCTCGACCTTGGATCTATATTCCTTCACCAGAGCCACGTGCTCCTCGTTCTTGCGACCCTCCTCCTTCTGCTCGATCGACGACACGATGCGCCACGCGGCTCGGAGCGAGCCGATCACGTTCTTGTAAGCCACGGAGAGCAGGTTGCGCTCCTCCACGGTCAGCTCGCCGGCGGGGGTTGCGCCGACGACCAGCTTCTCCATGAACTGGACCATCTCTTCGTAGCGCTCGGCTTGTTCGGCTAGCTTCGCGAGGTACACGTATTGCTCCCTGGTTAGGTTGTCGGGGACCACGGACGCCATTGGAGTGTTTGAGAAAGATCTCTGCGTGTGATGTGTTTGTGGAAATGACCAAGAGAGAAAGAAGGGGAAGGGAGGGGATTATAAGAGAGGGGAAGTGGGGCCCAAGGGACGGGGGTTTAATGGGGGCCGTCGGATTTTGATAGTTGGTGGTGACAGATATGGCTTGAAGAAGGTGGTTTATTGCTAAAATGCCAGTCAGCAGCATTGTCATTGGTTCACTTTACTTTCCTAAAATTAACTTTTATTAATTTAATTTAATTTTGTAAGTTTGTTTAGGGTTTTCGTTGGGAACAATGTCTTTAGCCTTTTCCTAATGCCGTCAATGCCTGCCTTTAAATTTGCCTTGTCACCCCTTTGGAATTTTATTCGAAATGTTTTGGACCCAAGTGGGCCACAGTCTGAAAATGAGGATGAGTTTGCATAAATAAAAATATAATAATAATAATGGTTAAATTTGGTTTGGATTGGATCAAGTGAATAGGATTTGGTTCGATTTTGGGTGAGGAGACAAAAAGAAATGGAGCATTTAAAAAGAAACGCTAAATTAAAAGTGAATACAGAGATCAAGTGTGTGTTGTTAGAATTTTGAATATAGAAATGAAAAAAAAATGATAGATGTAGTTAGAGAGATAGAGTTTAGATCGTACGCAAAATTAAGCCAATAAAAACATACCACTTGAAAGTACATGCAATATTTAATTAAATATTAAGTCATTGGGATTAGCTCAAGTGTTGTTTTATAATTATAATATGCTCAAAGTTGAATAAATGATTAAAAAAAACAAATTCATGATCTTTCCTATTAAGATAGAGGATAACATACTAAATTCATATACACTACACATGCTAACTTATAACCTTTTCTAGAGAAGCAATTATTCTAAAGCAGTACACGCGGATCCTTCACATAAAAGACATTTTTAATCGAATAAGATAAAGATGAAAATGAGCATAGATCGTTTTGATTTGTGACTCTTTAAACTTTGATTTAAAAGATATAGAGATAAAATTCCTCAAAATAGAAAAGAAAAAGATATAGATATAAAATTGGACCAACCAAGTCCGCACGAGTTCAATCAATCAGTTTTCTCTCAATTCAATATGTATCCAAGGGTAGCATATCTTCAATGCATCAATGCACTAATTAAAATAAAATGTCGTGACTTGTCAAATTGGGAGCATCTAGCCCCTCGTCTCATATGGGCAAACTACTTTATATGGAGTCTCCTTCTATTATCTCTATCTAAACATGGAGGAAAGCAAAATAACTGATTTTACATAGGGACAATAACCAATCATGGCTATTTTTTGAAAATAATTATAACTTATTTAATATTTTAATCAGTGCATTCAATCCTAAAAATGGTCAATTTAGGATATGTTTCTTTGTCATGTTAGGCAGCTGATTAATTATCAAACGCTTATGTAAGAAAAAAACAAACAAAGATTTCCCCAAAAGAAATTCAAGAAAGAAACTGGCCATATGCAGCTTGGGCTTTTTCCCTGGGCCTCAAAACCCACAATGCTCATGACCAAACGCTGCGTTTTGATTTTGGTACTCCTTCCTCACTCAGAACGGAAGCAAGCAGCACTCTTCGCCCTGCTGGGACGATCCAGTCCAACTTTACTAGGTTGAAAGTGGTATGAGCTTTAGCTCAAGTTAACAGCTAGATTTTGGCCATAAGGTGATTTTTTTCTGCTACAAGTCAAAGGGTGCTGCTGCAGATCACATTAATTACTGAGGTCAGTTTTCCAGGCACTGCAATGTGTAATCCAAAATTTATGTATTTGTTTGCCTCTTATCATACACATATGAGTTTCCATGAGTATTAAGACATTTGGGTTTTCTTTGTTCTTTCTTTAACTTCATTTTGTGTTGACCTTCGGCTTGATTTCAAGGAACTTTGATCGAAATAAAAAGGAACCCAGTATAGGAATTGAGTTTAGAAACTTTCTTTGCCCACGAAGCATTTCATTTCATTTATCTTTTAAACATTTATGGGGCATGTGATGGGTTGGATTTTCAGAGAGCAGGTTTAAAGGATTAGTATTAGGATGTGATAATTAATTTTACTAATTGAGGATGGAGAACCCATATCATGCAATTGTGATGCCCCTATGTTCATGAATTTTTTGTTGCTTTTGTTATATGGCATTCAACTTTTACAGCAATGGTGTATAGTGAACTGTTTTGTGGATTTGATGGATGGTTCAAATGAAACAATTAGTATCTAGGGACCTAGGGTGTTATATGAATAAGACTAAGTTCATTCAAATTGGCGGTCAGGGCAGAAATATAGTAGATATCTGAATCCGTTTGCTTTGTGTTCTCTTTTGGTTGATGACTTTTGTGTGTATAGCCAAGATAATTCCAAGGGTTTCCTCATTAACTCATTTTATGCGTCTTGTGTCTGTTTATGGTATTGTTTGAGACCTACTCAATCTTTTAATCAGAATGTATTTTTCATCCAGGTTAATGACAATTACTCAATTTGCAATCGTTTGGATGAATCTATGTTTATACAGCTTCTGTCTATGGCTGTTATCTTATGTGGTTGTTGTTGTCATTGCCATTATTCTTAACTGTGCCATGGACTGATTTTACACTATTTCTTTAAAACAGCTCACAGACGTAGGTATTTAAGATCCTCATCTTCTTCAGATGGGAGGGCCCTAACAAGACAGCAACAGTTTTCATGAATGTTATGAGAGTTAACTTTAGTCAATGCCGGTGGTTCTCATCCTCTCCTTCAACACTCTCAGCATCACTTCCATGGATCTCTCCTCTTCAGTTTACAAAAGTCAACACTCACAAACCAGACCCCCCACCCGAAACCACTACCACCCAGACAGAAACCAGGAGGAAAACCAAGTATATTTCTCACGAATCTACCATCAACCTAATCAAACGTGAGAGAGATCCACAACATGCCCTGGAAATATTTAACATGGTATCGGAACAAAAGGGTTTTAACCACAATAATGCCACTTATGCAACTATCCTCCAGAAGCTTGCTCAGTCCAAGAAGTTCAAGGCTATTGACGCAATTCTTCATCAAATGACCTATGAGACCTGCAAATTCCATGAGGGTATATTCCTTAACCTCATGAAGCATTTTTCAAAATCCTCTATGCATGAAAGAGTGCTTGAAATGTTCTATGCTATCCAGCCAGTAGTTCGTGAAAAGCCATCTCTCAAATGCATCAGTACTTGTCTCAATTTACTGATTGAATCGAATCAGGTTGATTTGGCCCAACAATTTCTCATGCATCTGAAAAAGAATCTTAACTTCAAGCCAAATACATGCATTGTCAACATCTTGGTTAAGCACCATTGCAAGAATGGGGACCTTGAATCTGCCTTTGAGGTTGTGAAGGAAATGAAAAAGTCTAAAATTTCTTACCCTAATTTGGTTACGTACTCAACTCTGTTGGGTGGTCTCTGTAAAAGTGACAGACTCACAGAAGCAATGGAGCTCTTTGAAGAAATGATTTCAAAGGATCAAATATTGCCTGATGCCCTAACTTACAACGTTTTGATTAATGGGTTTTGCCATGGTGGGAAAGTTGATAGGGCTAGGAAGATATTGGAGTTTATGAAGAGCAATGGATGCCAGCCAAATGTATTCAATTACACGGCTCTGATGAATGGTTTCTGTAAGGAGAAAAGATTGCAGGAGGCCAAGGAGATTTTTCATGAAATGACGAGCTTTGGTATAAAGCCTGATACAGTTGGCTACACTGCTTTAATCAATTGCTGCTGTAGGACAGGAAAAATGAATGAAGCTATAGAGTTGCTCAAAGAGATGAAAGAAAGAGAATGCAAAGCTGATACTGTGACTTTCAATGTGATACTTGGAGGGTTGTGTAGAGAAGGTAGAATTGAGGATGCTCTTGAGATGCTGGAGAAACTTCCTTATGAGGGTGTCTATCTGAACAAGGCAAGCTACAGAATTGTGTTGAATTTCTTGTGTCAAAAAGGTGAATTGAACAAAGCAACACAGTTGTTGGGGTTGATGATGGGTAGGGGGTTTGTACCGCATTATGCAACTTCAAATGACTTGCTGGTTCGACTTTCTGAGGCTGGAATGGCAGAAAACGCTGTTATGGCTTTGTCTAGATTAGCGGAGATGGGGTTCAAACCACAGCCTGATTCATGGGCTCTTTTGGTAGAATCTATCTGCAGAGAAAGAAAGCTGCTGTCTGCATTTGAACTGCTTGATGAGTTAGTTGTTATAGAGCAGGATTAAGCCCATAGATGGATTTCAGATGCAACAGAAAGTTTAGATCCTGGCTTAAAAACCCAACGGATGAAGATGCTTATAATAGAAAACAGTTATGGAATTCTGACCTATTTTGTAACTGTGATCTACATCTTCTATTTGGTAAGACGAAATGGATCATATTTTTTGATATTATTCAAGAGACACAGAAGCTTTAAATCCTTCACATGAAAATGGAATTTGAAAGATAGTATCATGCGACAGAATGAAAGAAAATAAATTTTCATTTGAGAAACCCCTTGGATCTTTGTTCAAGCCAGTATTGGAAGGTCGAAGGGAAGCTGTTGAACAAAGAAAGAAGAGAAGAAAGAGGTCTATAAATTGTGCTAGGCCACCTCCATTTGCAAGGGAGCATCAGTAATCAACCTTGTTTCTATAAAATTGTATCATTAACCATTTACATTGTAGTATTCTTTGACATACGTGATGTAAAATCTTTTTGCAGATTATATATGAGATAAAATTGGAAACCCAAAAGCATGTTGCGGGTAGAGAACTCCCCATCATTTTTCGGTTTTAAACACTACTCGACACCTGCGTCCTAATAGAAAGAGGTCTAAGCCGCCAGGCAAAATAACCAGGGACATTCTCTGTAGTTGTGGGGCCATGCCTTCAAGACTTCAAAAACTCATATCCTGGTTGGGTCAGGTGCAAATCTGACTGTTGATATGTTTTGAGCCTCACACGCATTAACGAACAGGAATCGCCGACGATACATCAACGAACAGGAACAGGAATCCCTCACGATTCTCACTCGCATCAACTAACAGGAATCGTCCACGATTAACCATGACTGACCGTAGCATTTTTCTTTAATATTATTCAGGGATTGTATTTCCGTGTTTTGATTGCAATAAATCTACCTGGACTAAAATCCACAGATTACCAGTAGCATAAGAAATCAAAAGAAGAGCTCAAAAGGCAAAACCTGAAGAGCCATTAAAAAAATATAAACAATCTACCATGTGCGCTCACATGCCACCCACAACCAATTTTAGTACCCAATAAGAGAAAAAGGATTGTGTTATGTTCGACCATTGAACAATTCATAGTTATTAGTTAATGGATAAGCATAGGGGCAAGAAGATTATACAAATATAACTCGACAAGAATAGTAACGTGGGCAGGCATGAGACATCACAACAAAACGATAGTGATATCCCCATTTTCTATTTTATACATGAGCACATGATAATAGTAACCCCAGAATACAACCAAACCAACCCACCAGTCCTTGTCCCCAACTATGCCAGTGTCACCAATAATGTGCCTTGCATGCCGTAAGGTTTTTACGTCCACGCCAAAAAGGATATCTATGCATGTGTTGTCTCACCAAATTGAATGCCTTATCCCAAGGCCATTGCATGTCAATATAAGACCTTTGTAGCGATTAAGATACTCCTGCAGACAAAGAAGTAAAAGTTGCAAGGCAAGCAAGCCACAAAAGGGAAATGTAGAAGCAGAAAAAGAAACATATCTGATAGCAAAGAAAGAGGAGGATACTTACAGTTACATTGTAATCATAGACATAAAGCATCCCTTGCTTGTCATATTCTCTTCTCTTCACTGGATCACTCAAAACTGTTTAAGAAAATCAAAACTTTTTGGTTAGATTCAAATCATTTGCTACACATTTCATTACAGTTATATTATAAAAGAGAAACAAATGCATACATATACATGGAAAATTATAAAGGATGAAGGCCAAACTGGCTCAAATAAGTTTAATCTCAATTGGTTTAGTTACAAAAGTCTTTTTCTGCCATTACATATTCTCTCATATATCCAGTACTTAACTCCATATAATTTTTTAAGGGGGGGAAAAAACCATACGATTTTAGGTCTCTCATTGTGAGGATACAGTTTTCAATTCCCACTAGTTAGCTCCTAATATAATTATTAGTCGTAAGTGGCAATTAGTCATAAGTGGCAATTAGTCAGGTGGCTCAAATGGCCACTAGTACTCAAATCTCACAGTGCTTTTATATATTAATCAATGTTATGTCAAGATAAATGAGTTACACATCTAAAATCACATTTCACACAATTATAGCAGAGACTGGATAACATAATTACCCAACACAGTTGATATTCCAGGGTTACTATTATCACACAACTAGTCTATCAAAATGGAAAATGATATAATTTTAAAGTTTTCTTGGAGAATTATATAATATTAAAGTTTTCTAAAGCCATTAAAATATGAGACATGCATCTATTGAGTATTTGGCATTGTCCATATAATACCCCAAGACTGCATTTGTGTATGAGGAATATATCCAGGGAACCAATCAAAGTGATTATTGCCTCAAACATGCTTGTTTTGCAAATCCAGCTTATCTTAGGTGTGATAGCCACAAATTAGGGGTGCAGAAAGCCAAACTATATGCTCCGAGTCCTATCTGATCTAATATTTTGGGGAGCCAATAAAGATCTAAATAAGCAGCTAAAAACCAAAGATATCAATACAAAAGAAAGGCCATTCGGAAACAGATAAAGCCCAAAATCAAGTAGTTTCATTGAGATGTTACCTTTGTGAAGCATGCCTTCCGAAGGTTAACAAACACATAGTCAACAGGAAACTCATATCTAAGAATAATAATTCTAGATAGCTCTTCATCCAGTTGGGAAAGTTAAATGGATGAAACATATTGACCATGAGAGATGATGCCCACATTACTTATAAGGATTCTCAAGAACAAAAATGAGCAAGCTGGAAAAATCAATTCTGCAAATATTTACTTTCCCCACTATATTCTTTTCCAATCCTGTCTAACTATTCCCTCACATTGTGCATGATACATTTGGTAATAAAGTAATGACGCATCAAGTCATTGTTGCACATAGATGTTCTCCATGAAGCAACTCTTGAATTATTATCAACATATGGTTCAAAATCTACTTCAATACTGCCTTAGTCATAATAGGTTGGTGAGCCATTAAAAATTGCTGACATGCCAATTTCTTTAATGAAATTTGGTTTGAATCAGCTACAGCATGAACTAGACGAGCCACAAAATGTACAACTCTAAAATGAAATTCTCATCATTAGAACCATAGAAGGTGCCAAAAATTTGACCTTGAAGTGCTCGTTGAAAGTGTACCAAATTCAGAAGCACATTCTATACCAACCTCGAGCCACCTTCCTCACACTCTTATCTGGCAAAGAGAGGAACACAAGGTTCCCAAATACTACAGCTGGTTCATTAAACCCTATCTGACAAGTTGACAGTCAAACTGCAAAGCCCTAAAGACGTACAAAAATAATGAACAAAGGATTGAAACACGCTAAATGGGTAGGATGATTCAGTGGTGAGTGGTGACACCTAAATGTTGCACTAGAGTCCACTAACAATACACCAGCAACAGCTACCTAAGTGGTCGACTGTTAGGTAGCTGTAGCAAACCACCATACGAGATTTTTAAACCCCACAAACGTCTTCACCAACATATACTCTTGTAAATTTTTTTAACCATGAACACCACCACTTCCTAGCCCGAAAATTATTAAACCCCACAAAGCCATATCTAATAACGCAGTCTCTGATTACTACCCAAATCAAGACATATGCTCCCCAATTAGCACACAAATAACTCATGTCAAATAGGATGTTCTAAGCTCAAATTTTTGCACCAAACCCGGGCTTCTTTTTCTGACAACCTAAAAATTCTAACCAACCAAGCAAAGCTCAAAAGTATAATCAAAATGCAAAAGGGTAAGAAAGTGAGTGAGTTACCTTGATATGCCTCGTTTATCTCTTGAAACCTGGTGGTGGCACTGTCCTGGTCTTTTTGCTTATCCGGATGCCATTTCTGCAGGCAGAGAGCAAAAAGAAGCAAACTTTAAAGCATTGCAAAGTAGTAACAAACAAAAATAAATAAAAACAAAAAAAATTTATGAAAGAGAAAAAGCACAAACCAAGGCGAGGCGGATGTAGTTGGAGCGAATGGCGTCGTCGTTGGCATCATAATCCACTTCCAATATCTTATAGTAATCCTAAATATCCATGTAAAATAGAAAATTAAAAGCTGCCCAATTGAAACTAAAAATTTCATAAAAGACAAAAAAAAAAAAAATTAAGAACCCTAATTTTGCGGTAAATAAATTAATTAAAAAGAAAGAGGAGAAACCTTGGGCTTGGAAAGGTCGGAGAAGAAATCGAAATTCAAGTGGGAATCCGGGTCCGGTTGTTGCTGTTGTTCGGTGTGGGAGAAATTGGCGTCGTCCCACTCGTCCCACATCATGCTGGTTGTCGGTGGCGGTGGGTTTGGGAGATGCGCAAATGGGAATTTTGGAAGATTTGGTGTTGTGGGGATATAATATGCTGAGCCTGAGGTGGTCTTGCTGTCTTCTATCTCTCTGTTTATCGCGAGAGCTGATGCGTCTCTGAATAAATTTGTAAAAAGTAAGTAAAGTTTTTTTTGATCTGTTTATTTATGCATTGCTCCATTTTTAAAAATTATATCTTTATTCAAAACTCATTGTATTGACCCAAACAATGAGCACAAGAACAGTCAAATTCATCAAATATATTTGGTTTCTAGAAATTTACAGAGAGTTGGATGTTTAGATTATCTAATAAAAAGGTATATGTGGGTTACGTCAGTTAGTTATGACAATGAGTCTGGTCTCGTGCATTAGTGTTTGATTTCTTCCTTATAAATTAGAGTAATTTAGATCATCACTCGTATTAAGAACATTTTTAATTTAAAGATAATTTAGTTTTTTCTTGAGTTGGAAAATGATAATTGGTCGTTCATAGTGCCTTCTTTCTAACTAATCCTATATTTTGTGTGATGATAAAAGCTAAACCCTATATTTTCTGACTAAAAATAACCACATTTATCCGGAATTTATAAGAAATATCCTTTTAACTTTTAAGTAGTAGAAATCTTTTTTGTTAAGCTATTTTCCTTCTTTTGGTTATATTTTTTTGTCAAACTTGAACCAGATATATTAGGAGGAAATAAGAAACTTGATCCACAACAAAATAAAAAATCTGATGTTTGGTAAATCACAGAGCCCACATTGCATACCGGACCCACGGCCCGGATCCAATGCTGCAACCTTGACCGGAA